GTAGATAGGGGAGTGGTGGGTGTGGGGTGGGTGTGGGGTGGGGGTGGGGGTGAGGAGTTGGCTAGAGGGAGGGAGTTGCAGGGAGTCGATGGTCTTATCTACGTGGTGATGCGGGCGCATTGAATGTTTGATGGGAAATGGCGACAATAAGGCAATTGAGTTGGTGAAAGAGAAGAAGGTCTCGATGGAGTGCGGCAATAGTACAGCGAACATCTGCAGTGACATTAGTGGTGGCGAGGTGGTAGTGCTACTACTGAGTGCGAGTTGAGTAGCGACGAGAAGGAGAGAGAATGCGCGTGGTGAAGAGGAGAGGCATTGGGCACAGTGAGGTGTGTAGGCGTGGAGAGGAGAGTGAGTGGAGGGGTGTGGGTGGCGTGGAGGTGAAGGCTGTGGCGAAAGAGGCGGTAGTGGGATGTGATGTGTGAGTTTGTGCAAGTGGATGAGTGGGAGTGGGGGGAGGTGTGGGACACGATTAATAAACTTACCTGGCGCCGGGTTCAGGGCGATCAGCAAGGCTCTGACCCCAGGTGGAGGCTCAGCATTGCACTCCGCTGTGTTGAAGCCTGCGACGGACTCTAATTGGGTTCGCTCGGGTGCGTAGTTTTTGCCAGTGGGGAGCCTTCGGGCATCCCTTTCATCCAATCGAAGAGAAAAAAACCTCCCCCACCCTTCCTCCTTCTCTCTCACCCGAGACCTCGCTCTCCCACACGCTCACTCCCTCATTCCACCCTTCCATGCACCCTTCCATGCACTCTGCCTCTTCCCATTCCCCAGTCCCCATTCCCCATTCCTCCTTTCCCCTCCAACGGTCCCAGCCCTGCTGCCCCCCCCCCTCTCCCCACCCCACGTCCCCTTCACCGACCAGTTCTCCACCTAGACCCACACACCGCCCCTCTGCTAGGCACCAGTTAGGCGAGAACGCCTAGCCCTAGCCCCAGGCCCACGATGTCCACTGGATCATCCAATCGAGAAAACCCTCCTCCACCTCGTGTCTGCAAGCATTTATTGATTTATTTCAAATGGCAGGCATTTTGATAGTTATCATTAGCCCTTTAGTTGACTTCGGGCTTCACAGTAGGGAGGAACATTAAAGTGAGAAGAATTCGACGGGGGAAAAGAAGAGCCAGTCACAGATGTAACAGACAGACAGACAGACAGACAGACAGACAGACACAAAGGCAGAGAAAAGGCTAGATGAGTACTGTGGAGGGGTCGAACATGACATACAGTGGGGTCATGGTAGTTTGAAGTCAGAGGTCAACTGCCAGTTAATTGACTTTTTTGCCGTATGAGTATACGTTGCCCAGGGTGCACCACGTGGAGGTAAGTCTATCGCACACCCACTTGGCTCTCCCCTCAAATTTCAACCCTACACGGATGGGCCGGAGCATGCCGTGCACCACTATGTTGCTCACCGCCTGGGTCTGTTCATGCGATTTGGTGTATCCACTCTTCCTCCTCCCAACCGCTCCATCCAATGCCCCATTCTCATCTACACACCCATCAGATACTAGCTCCCATGTGGAAGCCCAAGACGGTGTCGATGAAGAAGGAGGGGGAGGAGAAGAAGAAGAAGAAAAGGAGGAGGAGGAGGAGGAGGAGGAGGGGAAAGTGGATGATGATAAAGTGGTCGAAGAAGATGAATATGTAGAAGAAGCTAATAATGATGATGATGTTGGTGATGATGATGAGGGTGGCGGAGGTGGTGTTGGCGGTGGTGGAGGTGGTGGTGGTGTTGAAGAAAAAGAAGAATCTCGAGCGCACTCAATGCGAGACATAGTTTCACAGTCAGACGTCCACTAAAATCAGTCCAATGTGAGGACGTGATGGTTGCGTTCGGTTGGGGTGCAATTGCGTTGTTTGAGTTGGGGTTAATTTGTTAGTGATGTGAATTAGCAGTTTGTCAGATCCCTCGTCTCCTGTTTGAATTTCCCCTAGTGATTTACATCGTTTTATCCTCACATATCAGCTATAAGTTTTGAACAGAATGATTGACTTTATATATTTTGGTTGGGGATTGTCGTTTTCTTTGTCGCGCATTTCTTTCATCCCTTTTATATGTTGTTTCCTTTTTATTTAAATTTGGTTAAAATATTTCATTTACATTAGTGTGTCTCTCATTATTAATATTCCGAAATTACTCAACTGACTTTATTCTGTATTGGTTTTTGTTTCGGCATATTTTTTATAAATTTGAAATATGTTTATTTTATTGTTTTAATTTAGTATTGTCTTTTTCTTTTTGTTTTTACCTTTTAATTTGTCTAAATATAGCCTTCACCCCGTTGATTCAATGTTTTGTTATCACGTGTGATTTTGATTTGCCCTTTGTCTTCACTGCTATTCATCTGAATGATATCGCGATATTACATCAAGGTAATTTATTTTTTAAGTTTATTTGTTTTATGTTAAAAATATTATTTTTTTTCTTAGGTTGGATCTCTTTTACTTATTTTGTTGTTATTTTGTCGTATTGCTAATGGTCTGCATCTCTCTGGCGTTTGGAGCACGGATAAGGTTTACACATTTTTGGCGAGATTTGCTTTTCAAAAAACTTCAGTCGCCGAAATCGAGGGTACTAGAGGATATATCTTTGGAAATATATCTAGTCTTGACTATTCTTTTAGTAAGTTTAGCTTTTTTATTATTTTTATTTCATTTTTGTGTATATATTTTTTTTTGGTAATTGTTTTTTTTAGATTCCTCTGATCGGATGCCCCCTGCTACTTTGGTCATAGTTGATGGGGAGTATGTAACAGATCTCTACGGCAACGCTAGCCGTCCAGTCCAACTCTTTTCCGATTCCACAAATGGTTCACACTTCAATCTCTGGCAAGCGGAGACCGCGAGGTGTCAAGCCATGTTCTCTCGCATAAATACCCTCGCGTGGCATCGTAAGTGCTCTCCCAAGGCTAAAATGGACTTTCTTCGACAAGCTCCCTGCACCACCGGGGGACTCTGTTCTGAGGAAGAAGAGCCTTCTCGTGTTCAACCTCTTTCCCAATTCACCTTTACTGTCCAAGATCGCAGACAACCTCGGTCAGTCACTCATCTATTTTCCATAAAATATTACTATTTCATAACCCACGGCAACTAAGAAAAATTCGCAATTTTCTCCATTGTATATGAGCTTTTTCATTTTTTTTTATCAGGTACAGAGTTAGGAAGTAGAGTATAAACAACTACAATAGATCAGTTAAATTGTCAAAGTATTCTGCTTTATTTGACTTGTAAATTCAGCCTGTAGTCTTAGTTACCTGATGGACAATTCATGTTCTATAATTCAAATGTCATCATTCGCCATTTAAATTACTGTTCAAGTACAAGATGCTTGCTGATCGGTTGTTTCACCATGATGCTCCGTTTTGTCACTAATTCAATCTCCCTTCAAATATTTATTTAGCAGATTTACGTGATACTAATTTCGTTTTAACATACCTAAGAACTGTTTTACCGATCTTATGGTATACAACAAGTCAAGTTGGTTGTTGTTAATTGCCTATTTTTTTAAGGACGATTGTGTGTAATGAATCATATTTTGACTCACTGATTTTAACGAACAAGCAGTAAGGTTGAAAATAGAAAGTACTTAAAATGGCAAAGTATACGTTTTAAATTGGAAGCTAATGCCAATCGTTATCGATTATACAAGTGGCGGCTCTCCTTTTAGAGCAATCATTTATCTGGATCAGTATTATAAGAAACAATTTTGCTTGACGCTAGATATTTATTCCTCCTTCTTTGTGGCTTGTGGCTAAATTTCTGTGGAGATGCAACTATTTCTGTTATTAGTCATATTTGATTAACGCTTTCCATTCTCTTAATCCATTGTGATGAACGAGCCGAACATATGATGAATGTCTGTCCTTCCATATGGAGCTCGTGTCTACAGTCGACTTCTCTCAAGTACGTACTACCTATATTTGTAGCAAGTCATGCTCAAGGGTAGATTTGATTGATTATTCATTTTTAATGAAATGAAATTCCCTCTATCTGGATCTTTTGGGTGAAAGTGAAAGTGATATCAACCTTTGTGTGTCATGCAGGTCAATTTTGTTAAGCTAAGGTTGTAAGATATTGAAGTTGTAAACTTTATTGTCAAACTTTATTTTGGGCAATATTGAGGCAATTCTTCTCTTGAAATTTACGTTTATCAACAAATTCTATATTCCGGCCCTCTGTGCTATTGCCAAAATTACTGCTCTTGCTGCAAAAAACTAAGTGCCACAAATTTTTTTGGTAAAATGCATTTTTTAATGGGAAAATTATCTAACGAACAAGTGTATTTCTTATTCTAGCAAAAAACTCCAAATAAGTATTAATGTAATTTTGAGGGCAGTTAATCTCTAGCAGGGTCTCCAAAGTGACAGGAACTCAATGGGTATCCAGTGGAGTGATTTAACTAATTGTGTACGATTAAGGCTGTGCTACACGAATATTGATCGTTGATTAACTGGGAGGCCTCCACACACACACACACGCACACACAAGTGCACCACACTTGCTCAATGAACGTTCTTGAATACGACCGTAATTTCGTGTGTGTTCTAGCACGTCTGCATTTTCCTTGGTTGGTATTAGTATCGTTTTACACTCCACTGAGACTATAACTCTTAGAAGGTACCCATTCTCAAAAAGTTTGTACCCTTCGCATATCATAGTGATCATTCTGTGGCACTCCTATTCTCCACCACTCTTCCTCCGATCCACTTCCATTAGTCAAGGCAGGAAAATGAGGCCCAAAATGCATTTAAAATGAGAAAAATTGAGAACCCCCCCACCCCCTTTCATGCAGGGCTTTTCCTCGCTTAGTATGACATAAGACTGTAATAAAATTTGCAAAAGTACACTACTTCAACAGCTTATAGGCATTTTTAACCTTCATTTATTATTCAAATTTCAATGCGCCGATGACAACCCGCTTTAAATGCTTTGAGGTTAGCTTGGTTGATCGTAAATTCCATCAATCTACACTTCTTTTGCCCGCAAGGTTACTATCCTACCCACAACTGTTTGGACTAATTACCACGACTATATTTTTTAAACATCCTTAAAAATTTTTAAGTCACACTTTTGAAAGAACTTCCGGACTGTGTGGTGGCGACGTAAGTATTTCACGTGTCACACACACCTCTGTGTAGAACGCGAACAAGCTCCTCACTTCCGCGATTGGGGGCGCATACCAATCATGTGTAAACTATTTCATCATCTGGCGTCCTGTTGTGCTACACACATCTCATTCTCCTTTGGAACACCAAAACGCCAACCGTCTCAAGGTGATTGGCTATCCATCAAGTAGTTTGGAGCACACTTTCATTGTAACCAAATGGGGAGAAGTTGAGCAGTGTTATCTTCCATGCCAACTAAAAGAGAAATTAATTTATTGCCATGTGCATAAGTAAAAGTGAGACGCTCTGCAGTACTTCTAGCTAATAATAATAAGCAGATAATATAATTATATTTTTTCTTAATTGTGTATCAATGTGTTGATGTTTGTGTTTAAAAAGAGATAAGCACAAAAATGCCCTGTTATGTGAATCTCAAACTTCGAGTTGGCATTTGGACGTCCTATTTCTTGTCGTTCCTGCATTAGCTCTGTAGATCAGCTTCTTTGGAATCTTGTGGTATCACTAATCACTTTCTTTATTAAAGATTCTAATGACGTGTTAAGGCGCAAGGTGAGAAAAGGTTTTTGCAAGTAATCGATGCAAATTTTGGAGATGCTGAATAGTCTAACTTCAAATTGAAAGACCGCTGTTGTTTTGCCATGTCTTCTGTTTATTATATTTTTAAATTTACGTTCAATAATTTGTTTAATATTAAAAAAAACTGTTTGGAGTTATTGCCTTCGCTCAGTTCCGAACATCCCAGCTGAACCTAAGCATCAGTTTGTAAAATTGCCATCAAATCTCAATAAGTGGAGATCAGATAACTCTTTAATATTTTAGGGGATACTCAAATTCTGGCGGGTAAATTATTATTTTGATGGAAAGAGGACTCTTGAGTAGTGCTTAGCCAATCGGATACTCGCCCATTATATAGTCGACATAGGCATAAGATGGTGCTTCAAGGAAATTTGAGGTGCAAAATCGATGTTGGTGGAGTTTGAAAATACTTATTGATATATTTATATCAAATGGCAGGTGTTTTGATAGTTTCCATTAGCCCTTTAGTTGACTTCAGGCTCCACAGAGGGGTGAAGGAACATCAGAGTGAAAAAAGTCGAGAGGTGGGGGGGGGGGGGGGGGAATAGAAGAGTGCTTCAAAGATGTAAAAGAGACAGACAAACACAAAAGGTTGAAAAAAGTGGGTGAGTACTGTGGAATTAGTCGAATATGAAGTGCGGTGGGGTCTTGGTAGTTTGTAGTCAGAAGTCAACTGCCGATTAATAGACTTTTTGGCGTATGAGTATACGTTGCCCAGGGTGCACCACGTGGAGGTAAGTCTATCGCACACCCCAGTTTGAAAATATTTGGGGGGCAAAAGCTTTCAGATAGAATTGGAGGACTCACGGTGTTGATAGTTCGAATGGAAATCGAACTTATGGCGTCAGGCGCTTTCATGTCCATCGTTGTGTCAGACGTACTTATCAATTGTGTCAAGAGGGCGGCTTCCTTTCATATAATCATTAAAATTCGCGCCTCCATTTCTATCTCTCCCCCTCTCCATGCTTTGCTTTCATACCAACTTGTCAATTAATTAATACTAGGTTTCACACCCTCCATTGCAGGTTCTGGTACTTGAGTTTAATTGCCTGCTACCGCAACTTGACAACGTGTCAATGGGAGACATCGGCACTGCCACGTCCCAACCAGATGTCTGAGGGGAACAACATGACGACTGCATTGCGACTACCACAGAATATGCCCATGCGAATGCGCTATGATATCTGGATGGTGAATGGAGTGCCCAGGTTACAGGATTACTACCGCTTTGAGCATCAGTTCTCTTTTGAATATCACGACATCTTCGAGATCTACCTCACTTTCGGGGTACTCTATCTCCTCCTTGGAGTTATTCTGCATGTGAGTTCATATTCCCCCCCCCCCCA